GTGGATATTTATATCAGTAGCCAATTACTGATTTTAAATGTGGAAGGAAAAACCGAAGGACCCGATCACTGGGAGATAGAAATGCAAAACTCTAAATTTTCAGCAAGTGTCAGGGTCGGAATCAAACCCACGACCTCCTGTATACCAGGCGAGGTAGTTGACATCTCGCCACTGCGGCGCCCCTTATTTTTAATGGTATGAGCAATGAGCAATAGTCGGGTATTACGTGTGCGAATCACAAAACCATTGATGTGTCCGTATTGAGTGAACCCCACCTCGCTTTAGAATCGAGCTGAGAGCTGCCCTCCGATGCGATCAACAATGGAGCAGCAGTGGCCGCTGGACAGGGGAGCGCAACATTGACAAAGATCCCCGGTATAGCATTAAACGGACTCATCTTCTTTGGTTCTTTCGGTAAAGTCACGTAGAATGAGAATAAAATAATAAATTGATAAAATATAAATTGATAAAATATTTTATCAATTTATTATTTTATTCTCTAAAATATTTTATCAATTTATTATTTTATTCTCATTCTACTTTACCGAAAGAACCAAAGAAGATGAACCATTGCAGTCACGAAAGCTTTAAATCGAAAAATTAAACGGACTGTTGGGGCAAGTGCTGTTTGCGAGCAGTGCCTATGAAAGCCGGCACTGTGGAAAATGAAGAGGGTTAGGTGGCCAACACCACGCCCCACCGCCTTTGACTCCCCTAGTGGCAATGTTTACTTCACACCGAACCAGCTACTTATTTGAGGCTGAGTCGACCTAGGGGAGGTCCAGGACCGGTTCAGATAATCGTCACTGGTGTCGGGTCGCCGGGTTGGGTTCGTAGCGCAACGCGCAAACCGCTCACGCGCGCATCACCGTCACGAGCGTGGCACGGTGGCTATGAGAGAAGCAGATTGAATTTGACCAGTGCGGCTCGTGACATTGCCACTAGGTGGGGCTGTCAATGACCTCTAAAAATGTTGTGTTCTAATTAAGATAAAGCTCGTCATTTATTGGCCTTGCCGTGAAGGTGATATTACTGATCAGCATGGTTGTAGGTGGTTAAAATTAAGCTAGCGTTTGTTTAAAATTAATTCGTATTCAATAGTTTAATATGTATGTTCTTTATTATTAGTTAGTATTGTGAAAAGTGATTTAGGTGTGTGTTTTTAGGTTAGGAGTAGAGTTTGAATGACTGTCCGAAACACATTATAATATATAGCTTTGGTGATCTGTGCCTAACGCTGGGTGGGTAGGCTATTTGGATTTCCATGCAATTTTTTTCATGAAAGGCTTATTCAAATTACTAGTTTGTGATTACAAAATAATAAATTTTCTCCAAAAATATACCAGCGCCGCTTTTATAGAAGCCAACTGCACCCGTCTTTTTGTATTGTGTTTTCGTTTTGCACACCATTACAGAATAATAACAAATAATATATTCAGTTAATTTGTCTGACAATAGTTTATTTTAATTTTTTTGTACATCGAGTAGAAATTGAAATAAAGAAGCAGAATTACTTTTAATTTGAACTCAGTGCAGTTTAACTTTCATGACTTTTACTTGTATTTAGAGTGACAATTTGCAAAAATTCGTGAACACTGACCTCTCCCTTATGAATAATTTCTCGTAACTTTTTTAAAGTTCACATAAATTCAGAATACAGTAACTTATTGCAACTGAGTGCAAATTCATGTTGGTAAAAACGACCTTATCACATTATTATCTAAACTTAGAGAAAACACTGACCTGTCCGTCCGGTTAATAAAGAGTTCTTTTTTATTGACATCAATACAGAATCCAGTTAGTCGATACTTATACTAATTAAATAATTCCTACAACAATTGCACATTTGCAACAAACATAAGTGGAGAACCGAGTGTTTATATTTTATTATTCACTCTCACAGGTGAGGAAAATGTAAAGTTTGGAAAACCAATTTTCATTTAAACATTTCGTTTACTTTCTTCTTGATAGAAATGTAACTCAAACGGCTGTTATAACGCTACCATGAAGGTGATTTATAATTTCATTTTTTTATTTACAGGTTAGTCAATAATTACTCTCAGAAAGAGTGAATTGCATTCAGTACACCACATTTCGTAATTTGAAAAAAGCCACTTTTTTCAAATTGTCTTGCTGTGGTTTTCACACCTGATGATGATTGCTTGTGTTGCAGTCGAAACGTCGTGATAATTTTATTGTTTTATATTTTCTTAGATTTTGTTATTTTATTGTTTCCCTTCTATGTGACTTTACCGAAAGAACGAAGAATATGAATCCCTGCAGTCACGAAAGCTTTAAATCAAGGGTCAACAAAGTTGGACACTTAGGCTTTCGCGACCAATATCATCCATAATAGAGGGTTTTTTTGGGTTAGATCGCGTAAATATATAAATGTGTTGTTAAAAACCGCCACCACCCGACACAGACAACTAGTAAGGGTTGTCACGTGAACAGAACATGCCAATTCGTCACTAGTACAGCACACCGGTGTGTTGGAGAGCCAAGCCACAACATTTACAATCTGAGTACGACGTTTCGCCAGTAATTGCAACTAGCTTTATCAGGCGACAGCCAGATTTGTGGAGAAGTCTACCTGTTTCGTTCCTTATATAGAGCCGTAGATGTGGTGACCACCCTTCTGTGCTCTTGAACATAGTGGGGGGGGGGGGGATTAATGAGTTAACGCACATTATGCATGCGAGCCCTTTGATATTGTCCTTCATGTCCATTGTGTGTATTATTAAATACTCCCAAATACAACTGTCAGCAGTAGCAGAACACGCGTGTCAACAAGGACACTCAATTGATTTTGATAATGTTGAAGTTTTGTGCAAAACTAGCTACTACTGGCCAAGACTAATTAGATAATCTATCGAAATTGAAAGAAATCAAAATAACTTTAACCGTTCGGATAGCTACAGGCTTAGTACTGTGTGGAAGAGAATAATCAAATAATACATTATTTAAATTATTATATGTATGCCTACAAAGGGCAGCGTACTTCAATAGGGATTACCGTTGGTAGGCTATTTTAATAAACACAATCGACAGGAAGGACAAGTTCAAAGGGCTCGAACAAAGCCCATGAATGATGTACCTTGCCTTAGTAATCCCCCCCCCCCCCACATTGTGCAAGAGCGTAGAAGCGTGGTCAACACATCTACGCCTCTATATAAGGGAGGAAACAGTATGACTTCACGACAAATCTGGCTGTCGCCTGATGAGGCTAGTTGTAATTACTGGCGAAACGTCGTACTCAGGTTGTACATGTTGTCGCTTGGCTCTCCAACACACCGGTGTGCTGTACTAGTGACGAATTGGCATGTTGTTAACGTGACAACCCTTACCAGTTGGCTGTGTCGGGTGGTGGCGGGTTTTAACGGCACATTTATATATTTACGCGATCTACGACGTTTCGCCAGTAATTACAACTAGCTTCATCAGGCGACAGCCAGATTTGTGGAGAAATCTCCGTTTCGTTCCTTAAATCGAGGGAGAGATGTGATGGCGTCACTTGTATGCCCTTCTTGTGCGAAGTGGAGGATTAATGCATGCATATAAATGACTGGGTATCTATTGTCGTTTGGTTTATTTATATGATCAACGTACATTGTGCATGCACATTATGCATAGCCCATTATTCTTGTATCTCCTGTCGATTGTGTGCTAAAAATAGCTGCACCAAAGGTAATCCCTATTGAAGTATGGTGACCTGTATTAACATGCATTTAAACAATGTCTTATTTGATAATTCGCTTTCAAGCAGCACTATAGCTGTCTGAACGGTTACAAATATTTGTATTTCTCTAAATTTTGATATATTCTCTAATTAGTCTTGGCCAATAATAACCAGTTTTGCACAAAATACACACCATCAATTGCAGATTGATAGCTACTAGCTTCACGAGTTAGGAGAACCTCGAGGGTAACCAGCCCCTGGTGTCCCTTTAGTCAAGTGTGGTACCTTATACACCCCAAATAAGTTGGTCACTCTTCTTCCAGAGCCTGCCGAACCTAGTTGGCTCATCAAAAATACCCATCCTACGAGCGAGGTGACAGGGAAAGAAATATTGAAAATAAAAATGCGGGGAATAAAGTAAAAATGTAATTCAACAGAATTAAACAACACATTTAAAACAAGGACGTAGGAGGAAACACCGGGCAAAATGCTTAACAGATCTAATAGTGGCCATCCATTAAATTCCCAGGGTCGCCCAGCACACATGCACCCTGTGAGTTGCCAAACTGGCAGGCCATCGCTACGCCCTTGCCAGTGTCCTTAGACCCACCCACATAACTTGAGTCCCAGATGCCGGGCTGTCGCACATCTGCGAACCCTACAGGTGCCACAAGTATCTCCCATTGGACACACACAATCGTAAAAAAAATGTGCACGTGTTCAATGACGCACCAATGCACGCGCCGCGAGCCCTCGGCAGCCCAGTGAGAATGGCTTGCAAACAAAATTCCGTGTCACGGCACCGAGTGAAGCCGGTCCGTCTTGTCCCCCTCCAAACGTCGGGGACAGGTCGGCTGCAATAGCGGAACAGACACCCTCCACGTTACACTGCAGCTCAATCTCTCACTGCGGAGGGCAGTCCAAATCTACATTTGGGACGGGGACGGAGTGCCTCGCACTCTGCTGTGCACGTGGTGGGTCGGGGTTCAATCCTCGATCACCATTGCCTTCTCTTATAATAATAATAAAGCGCACCTGGAGCAAGCGGCAGAGTGCACAATTATACGTGCGGTTCATCACAGCTAACACCGGCTACATTTAGGATTACATAAGTGGGAAAATCCATTTCCCATTTACGAAATGTTCTTTGACGCGAGTTTTATTTTTCAGAACGCGTCCCCCATCGTAAACCGTGACATACCTGTGTGGTGCATGGGCACGTCGCAGTGAGGTCACGGGCATTACGTGTTGAGGTGTCATAGGCTGCTCCCTCGATCTCAGTTTTCACCGGAAGCCAATTGGAATGTACACAGCTGTGATTCGCCACGCCTACCACGTACCTGTGGAAATCCTATGTCTGAGAAAGGAAGGTAAGCAACAGCTTTTAATCATCGTTATTCGTGTTTATGTTGAACTTTTTTTTTATCGTGCGTTGACCGTGTTGTGCGTGGGTCGCTCATCACGCTGTGCGCTGTGTGTGGGTCGCGGTAGTGCCGCAGGTAGCGCCCTGCGCTACGGACCAAGTTTTAGTTCCTGCTGACGGCCGGAAACCTGAGCCGGTCTTAGAGGCCTCCCCTACCATTGTCGAGACGGCGCGAGGAGGGATTTCCAAATTGGAACTAAGAAGTGTTGTGAGCTGCAGTGTGGCGTGTGCGTAGGTGGACTCAGCCTCAATTGAGTATTTGTTGCTGTGTGACGTAAACATCGCCACGAGGGAGACAAAGTGGGCCGGGCATGGCCCTCGTCACCCACCCCCTCGTGTGCCGTGCCGGCCTTCATAGGTGCTGCTCATCGCTAACAGCACTTGCCCCTACAGCCTGTTAAGACTATGCGGGTGGCCTGTGATCTTTGCATGCATGTGTACGTGTACAGCTATTATGGCCGTTTCACTTTGCAGGTTCTGTTCATCTTACATAGTACAGCTTACATAGTACAGTACAACAGTGGCGTCTCTGTTGACCATCAGGAAGCCCAGCAGCAGCCTTTAACACCTTTTTTACTCACGTTCACTAACGCAGAGCCATTGATTTCCATTTATTTCCATTTTCCATTTATTTGGTATAGCCCTGTGAGTCATTCGGCTCTTGAATCGGGTGCAACCGCAACAAACAAAAAACATGAACAAAAAAACATCTTAAAGTGATTATGTGACTGTGCAAACAGAAAGTCCAGGAAAAAAACATCAAAATATTCCTGAAATAGCACCGTACACCAACGCTGTGTGCAAAAATCCCAGTGGGATGCAAGTCAAACAACAATAACCACAAGACAACTAAGATTAAGGCCATCAGTCTAACTCCATACTACAATAAACAAAAACATGGCCAAACCAAAAAAACTTTTCGAAATCGCCAAAACAAAAGCCATAAATGCAATGTAACAGCGATCATAGGGACTGTGACCGAATTTTAACAATAAACTACATAAGTAACATGTAACACCAAACCCTCGAGCCATATTTTAGGCCACTGAATAGCAGTGGCAGCTAGGGGTGTACAACTCCTCTAGAGCAGTTTTGAGTGAAGATCTCATAGGTAGTGATTCAAGTTGCAGTTTATTGGCAATAGCATTCCAAACCCTGGGGGCATCAATAGCAAAGGCCCTTCCTCCGGTTTTTGTACGGCAATAGGGAATGTGAAGCTGGTAAATGAGCAAAGACCTGAGGTCAAATTTGTTCTTTGAACCAGAGAGGAGATCCAGTAGGTAGTCTGCGGATTTTTTTTATAAGTACATCGTGAATAAGTAAGATCTGGTGCACAAGTCGTCGAACATTAAGAGATGTTAAGTTTGACCCAATGTAGAGATCACAGTGGTGAGTCCTATATGGGCAGTTCAATGCAAATATTAAGGCCGAGTGATAGATGGAATCAAGCTTCTTCAGTACAGTACTTGGGGCTGATTTATACACGATGTCACAGTAGTCAAGTAGAGGCAGTATGGTACCTTTTATCAATTCCAAACGGAACATTGGGGGGAAGCAGTGCTTGCGTCGATACAGAAAACCAATTTTTATTTTTGTCTTTTTACCAGTAAAATCAATGTGATCTTCAAAATTCAGTTTTGAAGCCAGGATGACCCCAAGATACTTATAGATCTTGACTTGCTCTATTTGATAATTATTTAAGGAATGTAATTGGGGAAAAATAACTTCCTGCTTTAGTCCCGGTGAGAAGCATAGCACCTTGGTTTTGGAGGTATTCTGGACTAGTTTAAGAGCAACTAGCTGATGTTGTAGTTTGTTGAAATCACCCTGGAGCCTAGCAATCACGTCATCCGGAGAGCGGCCAGCAGTAATCAGTATCGTGTCATCTGCAAAAAGATTTACCCTGGAATGATCCAAGTTAGTGCCCAAGTCATTGACATAAAGAGAGAACAAGAGGGGGCCGAGGATGGAACCCTGTGGAACCCTGTGGAACCCCTTTTGTTATCTTAACACTGTTTGACCTCCAACCATCTGTGAATACAGTGTGGGTGCGAGAAAAGGGGTAATTTTTTAACCATTGTACTGTGTTTTCGGAAAAACCGATGCAACTTAGTTTACTAAGCAGGGTGTTGTGGTCTACTGTATCAAAAGCTTTGGACAGGTCAAGGAAAAGACAGGCACAGTACTGCTTATTATCAAGGCTATTGTAAATTTGATTCAAAGAGTCTAATGCAGAAGATGTGGTGCTGTATTTTTTTCGGAACCCAGATTGTTTTAGATGTAGTAGATTGTTGGTGGACAGGAAACTGCTAATTTGGTAGTTCAATAATCTTTCAAAAATTTTCATCAATGGGGACAAAATTGAGATAGGTCGGTAGTTATTGGGATCATCTTTAGGGCCCCCTTTGTGAAGTGGACGGACATAGGAATGTTTCCATTCTAGAGGAACTGATGCTTCTTTGATGGACAGGTTGAAAATATGGGCTATAGGTTTGTATATTAGGTGACCAACAGTTATTAGAGCAAAGACGGGAAAACTATCTGCTCCGGTAGAGGAGGACCCTTTGAGGTAGGACAGTTGTTTCAGAACATTACTTTCGTGGATTGGCTGGGAATTGGCTGGGAACTAAATTCGTTTAATGTTTGGACAGGGGTGTAGGAATTTGCATGAGCAGGGGTGACTCCCAATACATTATCAAAAAGATTACCAGCTTCAGAAAAATTCAGGTTAAAATTGTCAACTATTTTTTGGAGATCTGAAAAATATTCCCCTTTTCGGTTTAGCTCAACGGGCAGATTGTCTGTTTTGGATGCCTTCTCAATACATTTGATTGTTTTCCAAAAAATCCTGGCATTTCCATGTGATTCCAGGAGAGTGGAGGAAAAGTAGGCATTTTTTGCATGCCATATTTTTTTGACGCATCTATTCATTAAAATCCTGTATTCTAGCCAGTCATTTGATGAGTTCCAGCGATTGTCTGAAGCGATTGGCATCAACGCTTTTATACAACAGTAATCTGCATTGTTTTAGGTTATCATTTATAAAAGGCCAGAGTTCCGTTTGTCCATCAACCAAATTAAAGGAGCCTTTTAGAAGGCCTGAATCAGAAAGATATAGAAAGTGTCGACCCTCCCCAACCTCAGATTTTGGGGTAAAAAGTTGACCCAACAGGTTTACAAAAATTGTCAACCCCCCCCTTACCCGAAAAAGAAATGTATTTTGTAAACATGAATGCCGACACACCCAGTAGTATCTGGACACATGGGGGGGGGGGGGGGAGGACATCAGTGTTGGTGACGGGCGAGGCACGAAACGCTGAGAAGGCCTCCGCAGGAACGAGAATAAGGTGGCCGTAGACCGCCGAAATTCTAGTTAAACAAATGGTTTATTATTCGTTGTTAGAGTATGCGGTGCGTATCGTTCACACAAAGTAAAAGAATGACGCTGTGCTCCTAGGACAGTCCCCGACTTACGTGTGGGTTTCGGTTCCCGAGGCTCGTTCATAAGTCGAGCAGCTCGTAAGTAGGAACACCACAATGTACTGTATTTACATGTTCATTCGGTCAGTGTTATAAAATGTGTTACGGCTAAATGAAAAAGGGAAGCGTTGTTAAACTCACTAATAAAAATTATTGTACTTTTGCATGTAATAGGGTGATAAATGCTGTATAGTAAATTAAATATAAAATAAAGCAACATGTTCCTTGTTCATAAACCGGGCGTTTGTAAGTCGAGGCCTGCCTGTACTTACAGCTTCTTGTGTGTTTGTAGGTCTGCAGGTGTAACGTGGAGAGCATTGGAAAAGTGGTTTACGCTCAGAACTACAATGCCAGCGAACTAAACTCGAGTCCACTCCCGACCAAAGTAAACAGTGGTGAGTTGCCATTGGAGAGGCACGTGACTGTCACGTGCCTCTCCAATGGCAACTCAAACCAGGCCTGGTTTGACAAGAACGTTCTGGTGCATGGCCATGAAGATAATCCTCTATTCATATTATTGTAAGACACATTTGTTTTCACCTGTCATTGTTCAAAGCAAGATTGTAGTGCACTCATTAATATCTCGTCCTTTTTTTTATTGAGACCATGCAATCATTTTGGTGGTTCATAGTCTTATTTGATGTAATTTCTAAAGCTGTGAATGTTTCGATATTTACAATGCCTTTGTGCTGATCACATTTTGGTGTTGTTCTGTGGTCTAATACCGGTGGTGAGACATGGCCATAAAGAAGGCCGTCTCTAGTGTAGGCCAATTAGTTTAAAAGAAAATGTATATAACATTATTAACAAAGCAAGTTTGGTTTGACACGTAGGCTTTCACTTCCAATCTTATTCATAATAAAGTTTTTTTTGGGTTAGATCGCAAAAGTATATATGTGTCGTGAACCCACCACCACCCGACAGCCAATCAGTAAGGTTTGTCACGTAAACAAAAAGTACCAATTCGTTACTAGTTTAATACCACCGGTGTGTTGGAGAGTTAACCGACAACATTGACAACTTGAGTACCGTGACGTTTCGCTGGTAATTACATCCAGTATCATACTCGATCAGGCTGGGCTGCTGTTGAAAAACCGGTCGTTCTGCATCTTTTTCTTCTCTTCCTCCATTTCTGGGTTCAGCCCTTATTCGTTGTTGAAAATCTTCAAATCTTCAGATCGTCAAAACTGGTCTCAGGTGCAACATTGTTCGTTTGGGTGTTGTAGTTTTCTCGTTTTTTTTCCTCGTGAGTTTGATAGGTTTCTGTTCCTTGTGCCGAGACACAGGTGGTACAATTCTAAAGCCCTGTTATCCGGCACTTTATCAATCTGGAATGCTCTATTAACCAGCATCTGTCATATAGACGGCGATAACAAAATCTTCCTTCACGTATCAGGGAAAAAATCACAAGAGCCACGCCGGCATCTTCCTGTGAGCTGCTCCGAAAGATTGGTTGTTTGTGGAAGCTTCAAGACGCTGCCGAGTGGTGGCGGTGCTAGCTGAAGACTCGATGTCCTTGTGCTGTCCTTGTGCAATATCCTTGCGCTGTAGTGTAACTTTATAAACTGTACTCCAATCTGCTTCTTCACAATCCACTTAGAATGCTCTATAACTGACTGGTGAGTACCTTTGTAAAACAGATTATTATTTATTTCATCATAGTTGCACGTAGGCTTAGTTTGTTTCTTGAAAAACAAGTTTCATGTATTTGGAAAATGTGGTGAACCCTAAGTATAACTACTCAGATAACCGGCACATTTGATTAACTGGCACCCTTCGTTCCCCATGTATTTAAGTGAGATCATTATAGAATTACTATTCCATATATAATTGCAGACACACAATAGGCTAAGCCCCATGTATATGACAACACATTGAATCTACATGTAAACACATGCATCGCACAAAGTCATAGATACTTGTTTTTTTATTTAGGAACCTAAACAAGATAAGATGGAACGAGACCTGTCCACCTCCCTCTGCCTTGTACCAGATTCGAAGCTTTGTGGACCTCCTGTCCTTCACTGCCCATCCTCGGTCTCCCGTGTACTTTGTATGCAATCCCATGCTCGGCTATCTACGTGACAATACGCTTGTTTGCCTGTCTGTCTGTAACCAGGGGGGAAAAAAAGTTTGGCCAAGTAGGGAGAGGGGGGTAGGCCATGCTGGTGAGGTGGTGGGGGGAGGGGTCAATATGGTAGTGGCTGATGACCTCAGAGACACTGGGCTGTTGGGAAAACGAGTCCAGGGGGTCCCTGATATCCGTCGGGATTAGGGACTGGAAAGTTGCGACTTATAACGAAACAACGTATATCGGGGGTGACGTATATCGGGGATCCCCTGTACCGACATCACGCAAGGTTGGAGTAAGGCTGTGAGGAGGGGGGGGGGGTGTCACGGGACATAGGTAGTGAAGAGAGGGGAGGTGTGATGATGTCACGCGACACTGGTGAGTTAGAGCAGAAGGGTGATGACGTCACGCTAGTTTGAGGTGCGCTGGTGAGGAGAGAGGGTGATGTCACTAGACGCGGTGATGGTGAGAGGGGGGGCGGGTTATGACGTCACACGACATTGGTGAGGTCTAGGAGAGGGAGTGATGATACAACGTACATATTGACCAACTATTTTACCGCTGACGTTTAGCAAGTTCCTGCTAGTCTACGTTATTGCAGGTGTACTAACGGTGAGTTCAACCTGTTGCTCATTGTGTGCGTGTTTGGTTTGTGCTCCTGTGCGTGTGTATGTGTGTGAGAGCGTCTTTGATGCTGCATTAAGTGTTACTGAGTGTACAGGCATTAGTTGTCCAGACCCCAAGCAAAGTCGCCGTCCAGTCTGGCGAGACCGCGTTCCTGAGCTGCCAGTATACTTGCAACACAGTCGGTGTGACAGACACCGTGGTAGAATGGTCGAGAGACTCTGGATCACGGAGTGAGAAGGTGAGATCGATCAATTTCACCCACGCACATTGTTAATCAGAATAGCGCGGTGGAGCAAGGCTTATCACACTAAACTATTAAAACTTTTATTTTACCACGTAAAACACGGAGCTATATAGCCAATTTTGAGACATGACCTGGCCACACGTAGTGATTGCTCAACGAAGTGGCTTATCACTTGGAAATTACAGATTCATAGAGACCCATAGAGATGCATTGAGACCCAAAGTCTAAACTAAACTATTTAATTTTACCAGGTAAAGGCCATTTAGCTATTAGCTCTTTTTCAGAAGCGACCTTTCCACATGTAATTAGAGCGCAATGAAGTGGCTTATCAGCATTGTGTTCAAGTCAATATTCCGGTGCGGCAGTTGCAACATTGGGATATTTTATAATCCCCCCTCCACCCCCATAACCACCACGGTCTACCCAGCTTTATGAAAAAAAGCTTCATAGCTCATCGGATTCTTCCAGTATAAATATTCTGATTCTGAAGGGAAGTGAAACACAATCCTTGTTATGAAGATATCACCACGTGTACAAAGGACGGAAAAACCGGAGAACCCATAGAAAAATCCACGCGACTTGGGGAGAACATGCAAACTCCATATATACAGGCGTCAGGGTTAATATTTGACCCATGACCTCCTGCATAACAGGCGAGGGAGATGGAATCTCGCTACAGTGGCGATATGTTAAGGAAATTAAACAGTTAAGGGAGTTGAAAGGCAGTTAAATGACTTGAAGAGGAGATACAAAGAGTTCAGTGAATGGTGGAAAGGAAGAGTGCGGGTAGCTGGGTTGTGAGAACTCTCGATGACGTTGTAGAATTACAATAGTGTCACAGTGCCAATAGACATGTTACCTACCGATCATTACAAGTGTGGAACGGTATATATTATTGTGTTACCCATTTGGGTGCAAACGTACACAATTGTCGGAATCTTCCCCTTACTGTTTCTTAAAAGCAGAGAGTAAAACTTGCGCGACTTTACAACACCGCTGATTGCCTCAGTTTCTCGTTGGCAACATTTCAGATTCTCAATGAGACACAGAATGCTGGATCACTCGCCAACATCGACATGACAATGATCCCCCGTATAGACTTAGCATACTGTTGGGGCAAATGCTGCTAACGAGTAGCACCTATCAAAGGCAGAACGGTACACGAGGGGGTGGGTGACCACACCACGCCCGACCGCCTTTGTCTCCTGAGTGGCAATGTTTGCACACCACGCGAGGTAGTCATTTGAGGCTGAGTCGACCTAGGGGAGGCCCAGGACTGGTTCAAATAATCGTCACCGGTGTTGGCCGTGAGCGGGAATCAAACTCGAGTCACCAGGTTCGTAGCGCAGCACGCTGACCGCGATATTATCGCTCCCCATAACATCGACATGAACACACCCACACAGATATAAATATCTATACATACACATGTACTGATCAACCCTCTCCATACGAATTCAGAAGGAGACAAGTGGTGTGGTATTCCTCTATGTGGTCTCGGGTCCTGATGACGCCACTCACAAAAAGCAAGGATTGATACGAACAGAAACCACCTTGGCATTTTGTTTATGTTTGTTCTTTATTTACCACGATGTAGGTAACCAGGGTTGACGGTTAACCACAGTTGGTCGATCGGCACATGTAACGTGTGACGAGTTAAACTGTGGGCACTGCCACCGCATTCAGCAGTGGATAAGGGCCGTGCAATGCGCATGACCAACACCAATTATCGTGCTGCCTCAGGTGCTGGTGAACGACGGCTCGATTCGGCGCTACAACCCAAGGGCCGAGTGGCAGGGCAGCACTGAGAGCTGCAAGGCGTCCATCACAATGGCCAGCGTCGAAACGTCGGATACCGGCTCGTACAAGTGCGATGTGCTACTGCTGCCCATGTATAACGAAGGTCAAAGCTCGCTGCAACTTTGGGTGTCGAATCGCCCAGGTAAGTTGGACGTGGAATTTAAAACGATTGGCCGCACCCTAGGGACAGCCCTGCTATATCTTGCTCACGGCATTGCTTGTGAAAGGGTCCGCACCTCCGATTAATTAGCAGAGTTGGCTACTTACGGTGCGAAAGAAGTTCGACATACGTACATGTATGCGCTTGAGGATACTCTGGGTAGCCCAACTGGAAAGTATATTTGGCCTACTCTTCCACGCCGATCAGACATCTTCAGAATATTCTTAGTTTTTTCGGTAAAGTCACGTTGAAGAGAAACAACAAAATAACAAATATATATAGACTTTACCGAAAAAACTAAGAATATGAATTACTGCAGTCACGAAAGCTTTAAATCAAAATCTTCAGAATAGTTAGGAATTACCCCACATTTTATTCCACCACACGTGACCTGTTGATTGACCAAAGTCTAGATTTATTATAGATTTCAACACACTAGTTTCTTTCACCTTGGCTTTGTAAACATAATCGCTAACCAGGTAGCGTATGCAGGTGGTACAAGTACATCACGCTTTTTATGTTTTATTGCTATATCTCCATAAAAGTTTATACTTTATGAACTTAAGGATGCCGTTCAAATAAATAGTGTATGTAGGCTTACTGTTAAACGTTAAAAGACCATCCTGGTAACCAGAACAATGAGTGGTGTGTTTACAAGACCAGAACCTCAGGTGCATCACTTCCATTCTGGACAGAGACACGTTGAACATCATTACAAGTACACTCTTTGTCATAATCTGCCTTCCAAATACGACTCAGAGGCACAAGTCAGACCCACAGACTCGAGCGGGAAGGCAGCAGCAGCCACACGATGTTGAACTTGATATATCCTCTGCTGGCTGATTAGCCATACTTCACGCTGGTTAATGCACTGGCTTCCACTCACGGCCACCACTGACATCAGTGGCTTTTGACAAAGCACGTGGGGCTGCTGCTTTTCATCACAAGATCAGCCAGTTCAAAGAACCAAACGGAGCTGCCACTCAGGAGCTCTGCTCTGCATCCCGCTCGCCACTCAGTGTCAAGGACTCCCCGTGCTGTGGCCATGGCCTTCAGGATGAGCTCGTGTATATATTTTGAACTTCTTCCGCACCACTGTACGTAGCCAAACATGCTAATAATCTCTGAGGTGTGGTGGAAGGACAACAACACCAAACACAAGAACAAGTAGTTCAAAAGAAATTCGTTTGTCAATCTAGATGATTTAAAAGTTCATAGTTCCAGTGGCTTCCTAATACCAGAAGGAAGAGATGCATAGAGACCAACAGAGATCCAGATGCTTGTATAAAACCAAAGAGACCCATACTCATGTATGTATGTGTGTTGAACTTCTTTTGCACCACCGTACATAGCCAACTATGCTAATCTCTAAGGTGTGGGGCAAGGACAACAAACGTAAACACAAAAGCAGTTTGTTTGACCAATGACCCAAAAACCTCTATTATGGAAAAATCAGTTTATAATAGAGGTTTTTGGGTCAGATCACGTAAATATATAAATGTGTGATTAAAACCCGCTACCACCCGACACAGCGGGGTTTTAACGACACATTTATATATTTACGCGATCTAACCCAAAAACCTCTTATGGATATTGGTCGCGAAAGCCTACGTGTTAAACTGACAAAAAGCAGTTCTGAAATAATTTGTGATTGGTATTTGCAGTAAAAATGCCATACACTAGAACAAGGTTGTTTGTCAAAAATGTGCACGATTGTGAAATGTAAAAGAATTCGCACATTGATTTTACATTTAGACTTGGTTGAACACGTAGGCTTTCGCGACCAATATTATTCATAATAAACTTTTTGGGTTAGATCGCGTTATTTATAAATGTGTCGTAACCCTCCACCACCCGACACAGCCAATCAGCAAAAAAAAGTGTCACGTTGACAAAAGACAAATAGTTCACTACCTTAGCCCACCGGTTTGTTGAAGAGTGAATCCACAACATTTACAGTTTTTGAGTACGACGTTTCGCTGGTAAATATTAAATTATACTGGTAGGAAATGTAGTGGACTGGAATCCCAACCGGGATTAATTCACAGGAGGCAGGGGATTAATTGTGTATGTTTGTGGATGTCTGTCCACGTGTATCCGAACACCCGGATATATAACAAATGCGCTCCTAGTGGGCATTACTGGTAGGAAACGTAGTGGACTGGAAGCCCAACCGGGATTAATTCACAGGAGGCAGGGGATTAATTGTGTATGTCTGTGGATGTCTGTCCACATGTATCCGGACACCCGGATATCAAGCTGGCGAGGCTGACGCCGCTCACCACATTCAGGCCCAACGTGTTGGTGATCTTTCGTTTCAAAAGATGGCGGCCGCCACCGAAACGCAATTGTCTGGCGCTGGTGACGCTGAGCCCGCTTATCGCATCGATGCGAAACGTGATGCTGGTAGTGCTTTCCACGAGCAGGTATTGTCTGATGCTGGCGACGCTGATGCTGCTCGTCGCATTGATGCTTAGCATAGTGCTAAACATCCTTGTTATGAGTGGGCGAGCGCCACCGATAAGCCATCGAGCAATGCACACGTCTTTTGTTCGGGAGAAACGTAGTGGTGGGCCAACAAGTTTGGCTTAAATATCCGTACATAATTACTTCAAAATTTCATACCAGCCCCCTCCGCAGGAATGTGTTCTCAACCACAACTGTCGACAGTGGCAGAACATCCTTGCCAACAAGGACACTCAATTGATTTTGATAACGTTGAAGTGTTACTGGCAAAGACTAATTAGAGAATCCATTGAAATTGAGAGAAATAGAAATAACTTAATCGCTCTGACAGCTACAGGCTTAGTGTGGCCTGGAAGCGTATTATTAAATAATACAAATTACAATTCCTTATAGGGGAAACACATACTAATTAACTGATTACTAACGTAGCCTATAATTACAATCACACACATTACAACTCATTACTAATCATAACAATTGACTGATTACCAATCTATTATATAATTACAATACCCCCCCACCCCGCCTGAAATTGTCGCACCTGCGTGAGTTAAATGATGACGTCACCCTGCTGCTCTATTTAAGAACGGGAGCAAGTGAAGGCTTCACCGTTCTGGCGAATTGCCCGATGATGCTGGATGTAATTACCAGCGAAACGTCGTACTCAAAAACTGTTAATGTTGTGGATTCACTCTTCAACACACCGTTGGGCTAACGTGACACTTTTTTTGCTGATTGGCCATATCGTGTGTGTGGAGGGTTACGACACATTTTTAAATAACGCGATCTAACCCAAAAACGTTTATTATGAACATATAAAACTTAATTCACTGAGTTAAATTGTGAATCGAATATCTAATCCAATTGTATATTTATACAGTACCTTCACTCAAGGCGCTTGACACAGCTTACGAAGCGGTGACACAGAACGGAGTTGACAGGGGGCGTACTAGAAGGATTGAGGAATGAGTGGCAGCAGCGATAGAGGGGCACTTAGAGATCACGAAAGGAGCTATAGGGTACGGATGAGAAGGAGGGCAGGGGTGAGGAGAGGGATGAGGCAAGGAATGGGCAGTGGAGAAGAGGTGAAGCTTCTAAAGACATTAGATTTCAATCTCGATGAGGAGCCGGTGCTACCAACAATTGCCTGATCTCTGCGACCCTCTACATATTAAGGTGTTGTGGGCCAATTATTGAGTATTCAGATGTGGGAGGAAACGAGTGCCTGGAGAAATCTCACGCGTGTGTGCATGCAAGGAGGAGGAAAAACGCTCCATTCTCGTACAAAACAGAACAAGTGGAGTCCGCATTTGCTGCACTACCTTCTGCCGAAACAGCCAAGTTGCGGCTCCTCCTTAACGCCCATGGGAATAGAATTTCGAAAACATGTTTGATGCGATTCACCAACCCTCACCTCCACAGTGCTGGGTTACTGGCACGCATATCCATCACTGCCCCAACAAATCATTTGTGGTCAAGGCGCTTCTGAAAAAGAGCCACATAGCTCAGTGGGCATTACCTATTAAAATAAAATAGTTAAGTTTAGTCTTTGGGACGCTATGCATCTCTATGGGTCTCTGCGTCTGTAATTTGCACGTGATAAGTCATTTGTGGCCAGGCCGCTTCTGAAAGAGAGCTACATAGCTCAGTAGACTTTATCTGGCAAAAATAAAATAAAAATCGTCTCAATGTGGGCGTGTGTGCTTGTATTTGTCTCAGAGGGGACTACAGCTATTCCCACAGCAACCTCAAGCAATACCGCATTATCCAGCTGGACAGAACCACCACCGACCTCGGTCAACAACATACCCGTGATCATCGCAGTGTCAGTGATCCTGATCGTTGTCGTTGTCATTGTGGTCGTTTTGGTTACCGTGTGCCTCAGGTAATCATTGTTATCCCTTGAAATTGCACAACACGGCTGCCTGCCAGACACACGCGGTTATGAATAATGTACGTGTTGAGTGCTTGCAGGGGAACAATATCGTGAACTGTAAAACTACTGAGGATGTTCACTGTAAACATGGAGAGGAAAAACTTCCCAGGATTTTATTTTTTTACAGATGTAATATTACAGTTCATGTCAGTCAGATTACCCTTTCCTTATTAAGGAATGATGTCGGCGTTGTTGCGTGGATTTTTATCCGGGTCCTCCGGTTCTTCCCTCCACATTTAGAATCAACATCACGCATTGAGAGTATTTGACTGCTGCTATCCCACACGATAAGCTGCTTCTTTGAGCTATCATTTGTGATAGCCAAGTAGCTTCTGAAAAAAGAGCTATATAGCTCAGTCCATCTTACCTGGTCAAATAATAAAAAGTTTTTAGTTTATCCCAGCAGTCGGTTGCACTGCTTTGATGATGCCCATGAAGGAAGCTTCCGGTTAAGGGGCTTCCTTCTGTTCCCCCTGTGAAGGGAGAGATTCAACTTCTTCAGGTGTGACATCTGGAACTTGCTCCTCTTCATCTGAGAGATGTTCACTTTCCTGGGCTCTACAGCCCCCGAGATACAAATGTCGGATTTAAACGAGAGCTGGAGGAGCAGCCCCAACCACACTTTCCCCGAGCGTAGCCCCCCTGAGGGGTACTCCACCTCTCCCCCCCCGAGTTCAGTGGCGTGTGCCACACACTCGTGACCCCACACCTTGGCTGGGCAACCACTCCACACCCCCCGACCTCATCTCAGGGTTAATACGCCACACCCCGCTTTGTTGAGTCGGAGGCGCCAGTGCAATCGTGGCTTTAGATGTGTGGCTCTATGCGTGTATGTACCTGAAGGTGGCCTACCCCACGAATGGGGATGTGTGTATCTCTCCGCACGGGTGGTGTGAACACAACCTAAGGTTTATGAATAAGCTATTTAAGTAATTATTAGTGATTATCTGGCGTTGTTGAAAATCCGCCACCCTCTTCCTCTGAAGCCGCCAGATCATCATTGATTGACTATATTAACATATTAGGCCTTGGATGGCACACAGTTATCTTTCGGAGAGATATGTTCCTACCAGAAGTCTCAGATCCAGCTCACAGAGCCTTCTTGTAGCTCCTCGGTGTGGATAGGAGGGCGCTCATTCCATTGTCTGGCTCCAAGGTTTTGGAACGACTTCCACCCCCATTGACATAAGGGAATCTGGTAGTCTGTGCCTATTTAAACTGTTGCTGAAGACCCATATCTCCGGTTTGACACAAATCTGGCTGTCGCCTGATGAAGCTAGTTGTAATTACTGGCGAAACGTCGTACTCGGATTGTAAATGTTGTGGCTTGGCTCTCCAACACACCGGTGTGCTGTACTAGTGACGAATTGGCATGTTCTGTTTACGTGACATCCCTTACTAGTTGGCTGTGTCGGGTGTGGCGGGTTTTAACGACACATTTATATATTTACGCGATCTAACCCAAAAATAAAACCTCTTAAGAATGATATTGGTCGCGAAAGCCTACGTGTTAAACTCCCTTTGGGTTGTTCTGTCTGTTAGTTTGACATCACTATTGCATGGCCGGTTTAGGGGCCTGTTTACTTGCTCGGGGTGTGGGTTGATACTCTTTTCTTTAAGTTTCCCTTTTATTTCGTTGTGTAATTGTTTCATTGATTAAATGTTGTATACGTTGTTAATGTGTCAATCTATGAAGCGCTCTGTGGAAATGTTATTGTGAAGGGCACTATACTATATAGTGTATGATTTTTTTTATTTTCCACTTGACTATCCCAATACAAACATTCAAGCTGGTTTTGCATGAAGTCACAAGTAGAGCAATTCAAGCCTTCTACCTTTAGATTAAGGATTCACTGTCTCCTTATCTTGGTGTTTATATATGTTGATGCTTGCTTTTTAAACAGGCGCAAAGGCAAAAAACAGACCCAACGAAGAAATGCTGATAAAATGAAGAGGTGAGTGTTTTAACACTTTTTTTCAACTTAAGTTTAAGCAATCAATCAACCGATGGGCACGGTTGGCTACGTATGGTGCGAAAGAAGTTCAACATACATACAACTAAAGTTCAATCAGACACCCAGTCATGACAGGTGTCAGTCAAGGTCACACTCCTGATGGACTACCCTGAGAGGGAGGCCTTGCTCTGGAACACGGAATCCCTCCATTTACAAAATTGATGCATTATTCAAAGAAACTCGCGCCAAACTAAATTTCGTGAATCGGATTGGCTTTTCCCATTAATTTAATGCAAAAAATTGGGGATTTGTTTTGGACAGTCACTCAAACTCTACTCATAACCTAAGCATACACACCTATCACATTCCACAATACAAACAATACCAATAAAGTACATATTAAAACGAGTGAATAGTCATTGATTGAAAAACAAAAATGATTTACCTTGCCGAGGAACCTACCAAAAGATCTGCTGCATGTGGGAATTATTGGAGAGGCCCTGTGGAGGCGTTACTGCTGCCACTGCAGGGACACCGTAACGACAGCCACCCATGTGGCTACTCGTTTGATGATCTCAAGGCGCGTGCCACGTGAAATTTTGTGTGCACGGAAATTAGATTTCGTTAAAGTGAAATTTCGTAAACCGAACGGTCGTAAATCGAGGAATATTGATAAAGCAATTTGGACGTCCCACAGAAGAAAGATTACCTTTGAGAGTAAAAGGTCTCAAGTGTCGTTTCTCGTCGTCACGTTTCAGGTATCCTCTCTAACAGAGAGAGCGAATACTGTGCACGCTCTAAGTTGAAATTATTATCACACATCAGTAAATATAGTGCACAATGATTGTAGCATCGTAATGTTGAACGTTTATGGAAGCAAACGATCACAACGTCTATTTGAGTCTGCCTCGCATAGTGGAAGTTTGAAATTAATTATTTTTTGTTCCTTTAGATTGGATGAAGCAGCTACCCTTGCTCCAGGTAAGAACATTCACTCCAGATAACAATGTACAACTAAAATTATGTAAAAAGTATAATTGTTACAATAATAACACTTTTTGACATTGAGCCCCCAGATTATTTTTTTTAGGAAGGTACTGGCTAGTATCTCCAGGTGGTAAGCCACAGAAAACAAAAATAAATAACACATAATGTGGTGATAACACCCAAGGGTCCACACAAACGGGTACGTGAACCCACTACCCTCTGGCCCACTTCTCCACAGTATTCACTGTCACCACGTTGAATCTTAGGTGCGAGAGTGGTGCAGTGGTGTTTACTCACAGCAAAAATTGGCCCATCAAACTGGAGGCACGGTTTGCAGTGCCATCAGTATGCCGATTACATCCAGATGTCTCATTCGCAAGTTACCCAGATGCAGCTCTCGACTGCTGAACAGACTGTCTCTGGCAGAGGTAGCTGCATGGATGCAGCAGAACTGGCTAAGGCTGAATCCTGACAAGACGGAGCTGAAGATTGTAGGGTCAGAGTCGGCTGAGGGTGAAACGGGGAGCTTGAGTCTTCATTAATTAACGGAGTACGCCCACTCCCTGTAACAGTGGTGCACAACCGAGGTGTGCTGTTCGATCGTAGCTTGACCATGCTCCTGTGGCCAAAGCGGGGTTTTATCACCGAAGAGTGCTCCGAGGGCTGCGATCCCTCTTATCAGCTAGTGATCTCAAAACAGTGGTTCACGCGTTTGTGTCAATGCGTCTGGATTACTGACAGGCTTTGCATGCTGAGCTGCATCGTGGACTGGTTAGTAAACTGTAGCTGGTACAAAATGTGGCTGCCCGCATGCTGAGACGTGTTAGCCGTTTTGAGCACATAAAACCAATCCTTCGTGATCTGCACTGGCTACCAGTCAGCTATCGCATGCAATTTAAGTTCGCTGCAATGACTTACAAAGCTCAAAACGGCCTTGGTCCTCAGTACCTGCAGTCCGGTCTGGCCCCTGAGACGTCTGTTAGGTGTACCTTGCGCTCCCCAGACCAGGCCCTGCTAGCTCAACCTAAAATGTTTGATTCTACACTAGGGGTAGCAGGGCCCTCTCGAGTGTGGCGCCTCAGCTCTGGAACTCTCGTCCACCGACCTCAGATTGGCTCTGAGCACCGAACAGTTCAGGAAACTGCAAGACAATATTTTTCCTTTTAGCTTTTCTTGAGTATGTCCCCTCATTCATATATTTTGTCTTGATTGTAAAGGTAGGACTGCCTTCGTTTAATTAATACTGTAAAGTATTGCGCCCTCTTTAGTGGGGGAGAGCTTTTACTCAAAAACATTTTAATGAATGAATTCCCGATTTTAAGCCCTACTCCATTGATATACGTACAGGTGTACCCTGATATACGTTCATTCAACTTGCCACCATTTGTTACGACGTTCACCGTCAATTAACACTTTTCAGTTAATGTCTTCTGTGTTTCGTTATTACGTTTTTTTCATTGAGTGGAAAAAAATTGGTGAATACCTAAGTTAATGCACGTTATTATCGTTTGCCCATGCGTGCATTTGATATAGGTGTGTGCCTGGACACTGCGATTCACAGCCTCGCTGATTGTTGTAAACAAGCCTTGGAGTTCAAACTACTGTCCCTTTCACCACGCTTTACACTGTACACACTGTGCATACTCCCCAAGAGTGGGGGCCAGACGCTCATCCGACCCCTCCCTCACCATCCTACTCACCCTCACCATCTCACCTACTGCCCCTCCCTCACCACCTTAAATACTGCCCCTCCCTCACCCTCCCACTCACCACCTCACCGATTGCCCCTCCCTCATCCTCCCACTCACCCTCACCTCCTGCCCCTCCCTCACACTCACGATCTCACTTACTGCCCCTCCCTCACCGTCCCACTCACCACTTAACCGACTGCCCCTCCCTCACCCTCACCACCAGTCACACAACGTTTATCACAGTTAGTACATTACCATGCACAGGATTTGTTTTTAATGACCTGTATAGTTATTATTCTCCATAGTTGTGCATAAAAACATATCTTAGTTGTGTTGAAAAGCGTCACAGTAGTAGGTTTAGGGTAAGAAAATATTCTTAGAAACGCATCGTATGTTCTATAATAGAACCTTATGGGATATTATGTTTCGATATACACTCTTTCACTTTGCGTTGAGGTTTTCAAGAACGCAGCTCAAACATATATCGAGGTACACCCCTCGGACCCTACATTCCCAGCTCTTGTGATGGAAGAGACACGAAGTAATATGTAGATATGGCACGTATATATGTATATTTTGTAATTGTATTTTTTTGTCATACCGGACAGATACCAAAACAGAGGAACGAAGAAAAAGCGGGGAAAACGAAGAATCACAAAGTATGGAAATGAAATCTTTTGAAGACTTTTGAATGGAACACATAATTTATGCACTGAATATTTCCATTTCTACAGAATAATTATAATTAAAAAAATATCGCATAACGTGTATTGTGAGATCGCTGCTCTAAGGGATGTTGGTCGTCGTGAAGCAACTCCACCCCCCACTGTTTCCCAACCAAAACCACTTTCACGACGGCAGAGCAGCCCGGTCGTGTCAGGGGCGTGGCATAATGGAAATAGGCGGGGCCTAAAAAAGGAAATTCGTGGAGCAAACGGTAGCTCAACAAAGTGGCGTATGCATAAATGTATAGCAAGTCAAATAATCTACACGCATGTTTCTAAATGTGGGAGGAAAAAAAAACGGACACGGATAAAATCCAAGTGACCACGAGGAAAAATGCAAACTACAAATGGCATGGTCAGTGGGGGTCGAACCCAGCCCCTCCTACACACCAGGCGACGGAGATAACGTCTCGCCACCTCGCCACCGATGGTCTTGAAATCAGTGAGGGTGGGGCACAGAGTAAGGCAAGTGTTGGTGGAGCCACGCATTTTGTGAAAATCCCAAACACGTTGGGCTGCAAGCTTGCCAGGCGATTGCAATAGAGCAAGTTGGTTTATGAATCAGTATGCGAGACCAAAATGTGAGATTTTATCCAACTTCTCTTTCTACCTCCCACATAAAGCCGAAGACTCATAAATGGGCTTGGCCAAACATGCCAATTGAACAGGACTGACTACGCAGCGGTTAGTGCACTTCACTGTGAACACAGCCATGAACATGAGTTCGATTCTGGACCACGGTTTGCACCAATGGGGAGTGACGTTAATCTGTCCTGTGCACCTCCCTTCACCAAGCAGCATTGACCAAGGTGAATATTGCTTTCTGTCGCACCTCCAGTCCCTCTCTCACGTTGAACTTTGCCGTCAGATCAACATTGTCAGAATCTAAATAGATATTTTTTTATTCTCTCGCCGGCCCCTCCATGTCCTTACAAAGTTCAATGTGTGCGCGTTACAAATTACATTAATGAACAAATGAACAGCGTGGTGATGGAGTACGGTCAAAGAACCAACATGACCGATATCGCACGGGGACGCCTTCATATCACAGTGGCTTAATAAAGGGCTGATTGGCAATGAGAATGATGAGATGCATCTTGATGCTTCATGAAGACACTTTGTGTTGTATTGGCTATAGCTACCCAAAGACTAGAGCAAAACTCAAGTCGCTCTCAAACAATAGCAGTCGTTTACCTCTTGGTCGCCATGGAATATGTAAATTCCACATTTCAATGTCTGAAGGTGATGACAACTCATGGAAAAGTTATTCTTGTATCAAGCCATGTGTCTAATTCTAGCATACAGTATGTAAGTTGAAATTACATAAGTACACCAATTCCCAAGCTTGGTCAAGGCAGAAAAGCAACAGAAAAAGTCCAAAACCAAATCAAGGCAACACAGTCCCGTGATAAAATTGCACATTACAATTAAAAGTCACCAATAACATGTGGTTATACCTGCTTGAGAATGTTTTGAAAGAAGCTTTACGGTGCTAAGGGAGGAAACGTTCCAAAACGTTGGTGCTACAATGGAAAAGGCTTAATTTAGAGGGCATCCATGTTGGTTCGGTAATTTAGCGGATGTCCATGTTGATGTGTTTTAGCCAACGTGACGGTGGCATCCTTATCCTACCGGTGTTAAGGTCTCTTTCCCACCTGCTCGGCTATTTTGTTCCTTGTCTCGTACAATAGCGCTGGCTGCTGTCTACAAAGTGCAACTACAAGGAACGGCAGTGTACACGTCGAGGGACGACAGTACGGTATTTACGAGCGATAAAACATCTCGGCAAAGCTCATGCAGGGGGCCATCTGGAATCCCCAGGGACCTGCGAGTAGGTTCCAATAGGGGGGCGTGGCGAGGGCGGATCAAGACCACGCCGGGAGCATAAGAGGGGGCCCTGATCCCCTCGCCGTGCTGTTGGTTCGTCACCACCGTCGCCGCCGTCTTCACCATCACTGGGCGTCGCGAGTTAGCCTGCCAACTGTTCTAGCTAGAGCCGCCGACAATAGACGGCTGTGTACATATATAGTGTGCACCTACGTAGGGTGCGTTTAGCACCCATTGTGAGTAAAGAATAAGAGGTGCCTCCAGTATTACTGTCTCCGACATGCGTCACTACACTTGTAATGTATACTCTTTGGTTCTATTCGGTAAAGTCACGTATGAATAGAACCAGAGTATGGATCCTTGCAGTCACGAAAGCTTCAAATCTAGAACTTGTAATGTAGTTGTGCATGTCCACAAGAGGGCATCACGTGAATTGTGCACATCCTTTAGCCCTGACCCTAATATGTAATTAACAGTCACCTCAACCATATACTAATCCCTAACTCTAAACCCGAACTCCCTAAAAGTAACCCTAATAAACCATAACCCTATTCCTAACCACTAAACCCTACCCCAATCCTTCAACCAATCGGAGGCGGTAGAGGACGTGTGAATTGCAGTGACACCACCAGAATGTGCATGGATAGAAAGTTCATGTCCTGTTTGATGGCTTGGACTTCACTTATTAAAACAAATTGAGTGAATCAATAACGTCAATGGGTAATGATAATTCACATGTAAACATCCAATTATAATTTGGTGTTTACATATGAATTCAATAAATGTAACTGTTGGATTCCTGGAAGTGACAGTTTTCCATGTACTTTAACTGTTTGACCAAGTGAAATAATACAGGTTTTATACTAGTTATAACGTTTATATCCTTGCAGTTCCATAACACGTAATTTACCCTAACATTTTGCAGTGAAAGCTAGGGTCATTTTGTGAACAATGTAATACTGTTGAGTTTCAAGTCTTGCGAGTTCTGCGGGGACGGTGTTAAAAGTCTGTGGATGGTAGAGATTTCTTCCAATAATCTTCTCCAGGCACTTGACTCATGTTCCAGAAAGTTAACTTGAGGATGACATCTATTTTTTTAATCTATCCACTTGGTGTGGCAGGTATTTTATTGTGGCCGTGTATGGTTTAAGGTTCTAACAGCGTTATTCTGTCTTGTTCTAGGGATTGCCCATTGTGGTGTGTGTCGCATTGTCAATTATCATTTAAGACTGATACAACATTTTACAATACTGTCAAGTTATCTTGCAGATGTTGTGGATGCACCCAAACTTTCTTAAACTGTAATACAACAGATTGTTGGATTCTTCACATCAAGTGCTTGAATTGAATGGTTTTAGTATCCCTACAGAGGGCACTTTAATCCAGTTATCCCAGGACGCCAGTTTCACTGAGGCCCATGTAATATTACCAAAATAGTTTTTTCATTTACGTGACATCGCTCTAAGACCTATGCTGTCCCTTCCGGATTCTAAAAGGCTGGTGCATGCCTTTATTTCATTGTTGGATTCTTGTAATTCCTTACTTGCCAGCGTTTATAGAAGTGTTTTAAATTAATTACAATATATTAAAAACTAAGCTGGCCGGGTTTTAAGCTCTAAATCATGACCATATGGTTTCCTGACTTTATTCGAAGCTTTCGTGACTGCAAGAATAACTTTGTTTTTTTTCGGTAAAGTCACGTATAAATAATAAAATAACAATAGCGTACGACGTTTCAGTTGCAACACAAGCAGCCATCATCAGGTACAGAAGAGCTAAATTTACGAGAGGAAACACATAACCCCAGATGTATATAAAGTACAGAATCGTTCTCGTATTTAATCGCCTTCTATAGGGTAGCTCAAGTTTTATATACCACTGAAAACTAAGATCTGCTAATTCTGGTCTACTAATCGTTCTAAAGACTGTTCTACGAGCAAGAGCCTTCGGCAACCAGGCTCTGCAATTATGGGATCACTTTTCTCGGTACATTGGGGATTTGGTTTCACTTTTTAAATTACGTCTTAAAACTCGCCAATTTATACAAGCTTTTCCTGTAACGATTGGAAAGCCAATTTGTATTCATTGGCTTTTCCTGTTGATTTAATATGTAATTATGTTTTTATCATTTTCGTAGTTGTAATCGCATTTCAAGTCCAATTGTCATCGATATTAACTTTATTTTGCTTAAGATTTATCAATACTTGTGGTATTACATTTTTTTGAATTTTGCATTTTTTTACACACCATAGCTAACAGTGATAATCTGAGGTGCGAGGGAAGGACAACCGCAAAAAATATAGAATTAGAAGCGATTTTAGTGATAATTGATATAGAATGAAGTGAAAATCATGTTGGAGATTGTTGACTGGCGATTTACCTGATTACGAGCATGCGTGTAATTAGCAGATATTTAATTACTTTAATTTAAATTTTGATTTAAAGCTTTCGTGACTGCAGTAATGGATGTCCTAATTAAAAAGAGACCTGATGGTTCAATGAGCCACTCTGTCTACAGGAAAGCTACCCATACGGATGCTTATCTGAAACCGGATTCCCACCACCATCCATCACAGAAGAATTCTCTCATCAAGACTCTGTATCATAGAGCCCAATGCATATCCGACCAGGAACACATAAGCAGTGAACTCAAGCGCGTACACCAAGCTCTTAGGGCTAATGGTTACTCCGACTATACAATCCGCAAAGCTATCACTCAAACCATGAAGAAGAACCCTCTTGAGGAGCCTTTCAAAACCATCACTTTACCCTACATTGCTGGGATCACAAAAAAGATCTCCAAAATCTTGAATAAACACAAGATCCAGGTCCGTTTCAACACATTACATAAAATCCGTGATCTGGTTCCGTCTGTAAAAGATGTGATTCCGGACATACAATACCCTGGTGTCTACAAACTAAGTTGCCTCTGTGGTAGTAGTTACATTGGAGAAACCAAACGCCATATCTCGGACCGCATTCGTGAACATAAAGCAGACCTTAAACACGGTAGGACCAACACCTCGGCCGTAGCAGATCATTGTTCTAATTCAGTAGGCTCACATGCCATTGACTTTTCCAAGACGGAGGTTCTTTGTAAGCCATCTGGCTTCCATGAGATTCGTTCATGAGGCTATCCACATATACAAACACAGAGACAATTTCAACCGAGAAGATGGATTCTATCTTAGCAATCATTGGAAAGATTTGATAAATCATTTCAGTTCTTGATTGATTGTTCACGCTTACAGTGCCTTTCAGACAGCATACATAAAAACAAATTTCGTCTCCCCCCTCCTCTTTTCAAAAAATAGATGGACTAGTCCTGGCAAACTGCCATCGTTGCGCGTGACGCAAACGTTATTTTTATATATATAAATAAATATGCCGTTTTCAAAATAAATTTATGCAAACCGACACACCTGATGATGACCGTTTGAGTTATGGTCGAAACGTCGTGAGAATTTTTTTTATTGTTTTATATATATTTTGTTATTTTGTTGTTTCTCTTCAACGTGACTTTACCGAAAAAACTAAGAATATACTTTAATTTAGTCCAATGTTTTGAATAAGGATAACAGAATTGGACCTAGCACAGAACTTGTCTTAACACCCTTAACTATTTTAATGACGAGATGTTATCACTTTGTACTTTTTGAGAATGGTCTCATAGGTAACTCTTAAACCAGTTAATTGCACGAATTGTATTTACCAAGTCTTGCGAGTAGAATATCATGGTCAACAGTATCAAGGACTTTTTACAAGAAATAGTACACAGCAGTAGTGGCCTTTAGCCAGGTCCCTGAAGAGAACATTTAATACAACATCCATTATTGGCACTGGTGGTGCAGGGATCCTCTCGAAAACCAGCCCGATTTAAATATTTTTTCCAATATTTTGGTAATTGCGAAAATAGATGTCTTTAATCATTAGGGTTTTGATTGGAGCCATTTTAACATACTGGACGATTAAGGACGATTTCCACGAGTGGAACTGTACCTTCGGTAAGAGGCTGAAAAAGTGCAAGAGGTTTATAGATAAGCCACAAGTGCAACCGTTGGTACATTTTTCTCCCATGGATGTCTTGATACGAGCTTATCCAGTTCAGATATTGGACAAAAATAGTAGGGACGATGATTTTCACGAACATTTTAAGGGTTGATGTGTGCAGGGGAAGAAGCGAGCGATGTGAATGGTGGTGTTTGGAAACATCTGCTGATCCGAAGTGAAAATTAATCTGTTGACAATGTATTTTTTTGTGAACAGTTCTTTTCAATCCAGTAAGTTGTTTTTTTGGAAGAACATTGTTTTCAACTTAATTGAATGCTTGCAGTCTTGAGGTTTTTTTTGTGAACTGCGTTATAGCGAAAAAGCGTAGTATAAACACGCATTAAACGATGATTTACTGTCCGTAACATGACATTTGCTTTTAACCTGAACAGTTCAACATTGACATTATTTCTCCTCCATGTTCTTTCACATGAGTTCTTCCTTCACGTGTCCTCTCCTGCCTCTTCCTTGGTCGCAAGACTCTGTGTGGAATACACAAAAGTGTGGCATGCAGACACATGGCGAATCTCAGTATAGCACCAAACTGGATAAACTGTTCTTCAACTTTTTAATGCTGCATTTCTAAACTGCAAAAGTGGCAATTTACAACAAAACAATCCCAGCTAGGCATTACCATCAAATGCAGCTCATATACCGATACTCGGAAGCTACCCGGCACACATGTCCCCTTTACTGATGGACTTCCCTTCCGACAAAACTCTATTGCTGTTTTGATCTATTGCTATGCTTCAAGAACCCACCAAGCTCAATCTCCAAGCTTCCTGCACTTGTTATATTTGCTTGTGACATACCCTTCTGAAGCTCCTGTCCTCATCCAAAGCGCTGAATCATTGTGGGTCATAATGTGAACAGCAAATGCATATAATCATAGGACAGGAGCCCAGCAACCCCGATGAAATTTAAAACAGTTCGAACTAAACCTCACTGCCTCTTCAATGGATGCAGGAAACACCACAAGAGCTGGGACCCACGATGGGCCACTTTGGAGAGAAGATGGTGCATGTGTTCTTCCATGACAGAATCATCGCAAGCGAATTGTCGAGCAACAGATGAATAATCGGCGAACTGTACCTCAATACATTTCTTGTGACTGGTCAAATCAGCAATGGGAAAACCTGACAGGCAAGGTTTTGGTGTATGCAAAAAGACAACTGCCATATTAAGACATCTATGGACCTTGAGAACAATTATCACCAAAGATATCAACGAGGTCTGATGGTGATGCAGAAATAAAAGCGGCAAATGGCTTGAATTTCATGAAAGGGCTGTAAACTGAGTCACGAAATACTATCCCTAAAACCGGGTCACCATCATATGAATATGATCAAGAGACTGATGGTGACATTTGTGGTCCGAGTTCTCAGTGCAGTCTGCATGTAACTGCAGTTCATCCATCACGAATGAAAGAGGCTTTAATTCCAATACCGTAAAACCATGACCTACCCACACAACAATCACAGAGTTAAGTCTCATTAATATGCCAATAACGTGAAAAGATACAGCCTTGTTTGCAGCTTTGAGCGTGTGGTGAATGCCACTTACTGGACGAAGATGAACCTCGACCCAGTCCCGTCCACGCAGCTCTACAGATGTAGCGTCATGAACAGCTGCCAACCATCAGGACCTGGAAGTATTGAGTCAACATGACAAACAGCATCACCCAGTGATATCACAACTGCAGCAGAGCCGGGCAGTAATGAGCAACACTGCATAGCACTATGCCACGTGAACAACGACATGAGCAGAATCAGATCTTGTAATGGGTTCAGAAACAGCCTCTGATTTTCAGCAAAGTGAGCTCAGAAAGGCATGAGATTGGTAATCATAACCCACTGCACATCAGGTAACAAGTTCTGCCTTGTGATGGTTACTGTATCCAGGTGCCAATATCTTAAATTTTTTTGCCTTTAGTAACTTCTAAGTCACTCCCTCACGAGCGGTCAGTTGCTTCCTTAACCCTCTTCTATCACTATTGCTATGGGCACCATGGTAACTAGGAGATGTTTCTACCCCCCCTTGTATACAGGAGATAGTGGGTTCGATACCGACCCTGACTGTTGTATATTTGGAGTTTGCATGTCCTCTGCGTGGTCACGATGATTTTTCTCCAGGGCCTCCAGTTTTTCCCTTCACATTTAGAAACGTGCGTTTAAGAGTATTTGACTGCTAGAAATGTCAACGTGATAAGCCACTGTTGAGCTATCATTTATGGCCAGGTCGCTTCGAAGAAAGAGCTATATAGCTCAGTGTGCCTTACC